GTCAACCCTGAGCCGGTGAGATTTGAACAGCCGAACTGCAGTCAGCTGAAGTAGCCTGCAGTGCTGCATTTAACCCCTGCGCCACCTCGGCTCTCTCGTGATCCAAGGTCTTCTTAAAAACGTCCAGTATTGGAGGATTCACAACTTCTGGAGGCAGGGAGTTCCCCTGGTTAATGGTTCTCACTGTCAGGAAATTCCTTCTTCTTTTCTAAGCCGCTTCTCTCCTTGATATAAAGAAGAAGAGTTGCAGGATTTGTGCTTGGCTGGTGTATTTGAGGGGCTGCCCCCAAAGAAGAGGGAGGCCAGATTCGCTTAACAACTGTGGCAAGAATGGTCGCAAAAAGGGGCCCAAACTCACTTAACAACGGTCTCGCTTAGCTGCGGAAATGTTGGGTTCAATTGTGGTCGTAAGCCGAGGACCACCTGTCGCTTTGTTTCCCTGCTGAGCCTGACCTCTGCTGCCTGGAGGAAGGCTGTGGGACCCCGGAGGAGAAGGGGCCCTGACTCCGCGCTCTCTTTCCTTCCTCTGAGCAGCTCTGTAGTAAGATTGTGGAGAAGAACGCCAATCCCCAGTGGAACCAGATTGTCACCCTGCCTGCCATGGTGAGCCCCCCCTCCCCAAATCCCCCCCAGTCTTTTCAGCATCCTCCGTTCCCCCCCAAAGCCTCTCCCTGACCCAGCCCCTCCCGCTCTTCCCTGCAGTTTCCCTCCATGTGCGAAAGGATGAGGATCCGCGTCATGGACTGGTGAGTAACGAGCGAGGAGTCAGGGGGCGGCTCCCTCATTTATAACCCCACCGTTTGCCAGGTTTGGGGCAGGAAAAGGGGCCAGGCAGCCTTGTTTCCAGCTGGGGGGGGGGGGGCTCAGTTCAGGCCATCCCACCTCCGAAAACCATGGGGACTCTGAGCAGTTGGAGTAAACTCCACATCCTTCTAGCACTGATGATGTTACCTAGTTGGGTCATGAAATCTCTACAAGGAAACCAACAAGTTCAGAGAGCACCAAGGATGCCACGATCTTTTTCCTTCCTCCTCCTCTTCCACCTTTTCTTCCTCCCCTCTCTTCCTCCTCCATCTCTCCTCCTCCTCCTCTTCCTCCTCCTCCACCTTCTCCTCTTTCTCCTCTTCTTCCTCCCCCTCTTCCATCTCTTCTCCTCCTCCTCCTCTTTCTCCTCCTCTTCCTCTCCCCTCCTCTTCCTCTCTCTCCTCCTCCTCCTTCTCTTCCTCCTCCACCTTCTCCTCTTTCTCCTCTTCTTCCTCTCCCTCTTCCATCTCTTCTCCTCCTCTTTCTCCTCTTCTTCCTCCCACTCTTCCTCCTCCCACTCTTCCTCCTCCATCTCTCCTCCTCCTCCTCCTCTTCCTCCTCCTCCATCTTCTCCTCTTTCTCCTCTTCTTCCTCCCACTCTTCCATCTCTTCTCCTCCTCCTCCTCCTCTTTCTCCTCCTCTTCCTCCCCCTCTTCTTCCTCCTCTTCTTCCTCTATCCCTCCTCCTCCTCCTCCTCCTCCACCTTCTCCTCTTTATCCTCTTCTTCCTCTCCCTCTTCCATCTCTTCTCCTCCTCTTTCTCCTCTTCTTCCTCCCACTCTTCCTCCTCCATCTCTCCTCCTCCTCCACCTTCTCCTCTTTCTCCTCTTCTTCCTCCCCCCTCTTCCATCTCTTCTTCTCCTCTTCCTCCTCATTACCTCAGTTGAGTAACGAAATGAAAAACCCAGAGAATACCCAGAACCCCGCAATCCTCCTCCTCCTCCTCCCTGCTAACTCTTCTGTCTTCTAGCACTGGTGATGGTACCTAGTTGGGTCATGAAATGTCTGCCAGAAAACCACCAAGCTCAGAGACCACCAAAGCCCCCCCCCCACCACAGTCCTTTTCCCTCCTCTTCCTCTTCTTCCTCCTCCTCCTCTCCACAAACCCCAGTCCCTTCTAGTAGCACTGATGACGTTCCTAGTTTGGTCACGAAACGTCTAGGTGGTGCAATGGCTGGGAGACGCTGCCCTTGTTGATCAGAAAGCTCGGCAGTTCAGCGGTTCGAATCCCTAGTATAAGTCCCCTGCGTAAGCAGGAGGATGGACTAGAGGACCTCCAAGGTCTCCCCCTGTTATGTTATGTTATCTGCAAGACAACCTCTTAGCTAAGAGAGTCCCAAGGAGCCCCCAATTGCCTTATCCCTTCAGGTGGCATTTGGAAACCCTGGTTTATTGAACAAGCTCTGACGCTTTCTCCAAACTCACAAAGGAGGCCCCTCTTTCCAGAGGCCGCCTGTCCTCCGGAGAGCAAGTTGTGCACAACTTTTTTGTCCACACAAGCGTGTGAGTCTGAGCTGCGAAAATCTGAATGAACACTAGATGGCAGCAGTTGGAGAGGGAAAGCCTCCTGCCTGGGATTTTGCACTGGGCTCGGATTTTCCCTCTACCAGAGTCCCAAAGTTACCAAGACTGCAGACCAGGGATGAAATCCAGCAGGTTCTGGAGAACCGGTAGCGGAAATTTTGAGTAGTTTGGAGAACCGACAAATGCACCTCCGGGCGGCCCCAGAGTGTGTGTGTGTGGGGGGGGGGAATGGGGATTTTGCAGTATCCTTCCCCTGC